GCAAGTTTCCTCTTGCAAGTTATGCTCGTGCGAGAAGGGATCGCTACGCATTTCACTGTGCACTTTCCTTATGCATGCCTCTATGCATTTCAGTCTACTTTCCCCGTTCATGCCTCATTTCCACAGTCCTGCGCATGCCTCTGTGCAGTACACTGTCTACTTTCCCTGTGTGTGTCTCTATGCAATTCACTGTCTACTTGCCCTGCGCATGCCTCATTTCACTGTGCGCATGCCTCTTTACATTACTACATTCCCTGTGTTTCACTGTCTACCTTCCCTGTGCATTCCTATACACATGTCACTGTCTACTTTCTCTGCGCATGCCTCTATGCAGCTCACTGTGCACTTTCCCTATTCATGCCTCCGTGCGTTTCACTGTCTACTTTCAATCATTGTTCAATTTGTGTGGATGGTTTCTTGGACTTGGGGTTGGGAAATTATGTTTTTTATAGAGAATTTGTGTGTGTGTGTTGCAAAAGCTTAAACGGTGTGTGGTCTCGGGAGGGTTGGCGCTGCTGTTGTTTTGTGATTCGGGGGTTGGAAATTGTCATTTGTAAGAGTGAAATTGTATGATGCGTCTTGCTTTGCAAAAGCATTTGAAGACGCTGAAGGCTTACAGCGTCGAAGGCTTACGGCAAGCATCGAAGGCTTACAGCAAGGACGGGGGGCAGGGCGGCCAAAAAAACACAAGACTGCCCATAGTCACTAGTCCACATTTTAGGCACGGGGGCGTGAGTGGCTGCATTGACCAAAGCGATTGCAATATTCTCCACCAGCTGCATGTTCCCAGCAGCTCTGACGGCGCTCCTTTCTACTACACCGCAGAACACAGGAGTCTCGGCTAAGTTTTTCAGGGAAAGTTTTCTGCCAAGTTTTGCTTGGGAAAGTTCACGCATTGACAGTTAAAGCAACATGTCGAAGCAAAACATAGGCAAATGAAAGTGACGATGGTCACTGCTGTGTGTACCTCAACACGTGGCTCGCTGCTACCCTGCGCATTTTCTCAGTTGTTCATTGTGTCGTTGGTGCAGGTCAGAAACTTTCTACAACCTGGGCTACTTGATCAGCGCGCAGGGCAGCGCTGAATGAAGCCCCAGCCTGAGCTACCTGATCATGGCCAAGGCGCACCGCTTAAAGGTTGGCCTCTACACCCTCATGGCCAGGGGGGGCTGTGAGACACAGCACTGAAGGAAGTGCTGTTGCGCCGCAAGAGGCGTAATAACAGCAGGTTCTACATCTTGCGCTATCAGATTCCTACACACAGTGAATGACGTATTTTTTGAGTTAACTCACACGCTGACCCTTGCACACGTGTCCTCGCGTCCTGGACTACCTGCTCATGGCAGGGGGCCTAGACATCAGTGCTGAAGGAAGTGCTGAAGCGCCGAAAGAGGCGTGCCTTGCGTGATTGCCCACATCTTGGACTACTTGATCGTGGCAGGGGGGCTTAGCTATCAGCGCTGAAGAACGTGAAGAGGCACACATGGCAGGTTCAAGCATTGTCTCTTTTCTTGAGCAAAACTTCTCATCTCGCACAAACACTCATACAAGTTCAGGTTGCTAAAAGTTGCCTGAGCCTACGCGGTAGGAGGTCAAGTATGTGACCAACATGTGTTTTGGGAAGTGTGCGCCACTTGCATGTCAGCCTACATCTTGAAGCACTTGATCATGGCAGCGGGGCGTAGACATCAGCGCTGAAGAAAGCGCTGTTGCGCTGAAAAAGGCGCGCCGCTTGAAGGCTACCCTACATCCTGGACTACCTGATGATTGCTCGGTTGCAAGGGGGGAGGAGCTGAAACACGTGCTGTGACGTGCGTGCCACTTGCAGGCTAGCCTATGTATTGACCATGGCAGGGGGGCCTAGACATCGGCGCTGAAGGAAGCGCTGTTGCACCGGAAATGAAGGCTACCCTACATCCTGGACTTGATGATCGCTCGGTGGGGGTGCTGCTGCGCACGTGGCACTTGCAGGGTAGCCTACATCTTGGAGCGAGTGATCATGGTAGCAGGTTCTGCATCTTGATCCACAGTGAATGAAGTGCTGTTGCGCCAAAAGAGGTGCGCCGTTTGCGTGTTTGCCTACATCCTGGACTACTTGATCATGGCAGGGGAGCCTAGCCATCAGCGCTGAAAAGGGGGAAAGGCATAAATAGCGGGTTCGGCATTGTCTCTGAACCTGGGCCAAACTTCTTCTCATCGCACACAGACATTCTTACAAGTTGAAGGTCAATGTCAAGTATGTGACCAACACGTTTTGCCGAACATGGCAATAATTATGTGCTATTTGTGTTTTGGGAAGTGCGCCACGTGCAGGTTAGCCACCATCTTGGAGCACTTGAGATCATGGCAGGGAGGCCTATAGACATCAGCGCTGAAAGAGGCGCTGTTGCACCGAAAGAGGTGTGCTGCGCGAAGGCTACCCTACATCCTAGACAGCTTGATAATCACCGGGCGGGGGGGCGGGGGGGGGGGGGACGAGGGAGCTTGAAAGAAGTGCTGTTGTGCGTGCGCCGCTCGCAGGCCAGCCTACATCTTGGAGCGCTTGACCATGGAGGGGGGCCTAGTAGACATCAGCGCTGAAGGAAGCGCTGAAGCGCCGAGGCCGCTTAGCAGGTTCTACATCTTGACCTATGTCATCTCTGCAGGAGGGCCCAAACATCAGCGCTGAACGCAGTGCTGTTGCGCCGAAAAGGGCGTGCCGTGTGCGTGTTTGCTTGGCAGGGCGGCCTAGACATAAGCGCTGAAGGAAGCGCTGTTGCGCCGGAAGAGGCATAAAAAAATACGTTTGGCATTACGCGCTACATGTGTTTGCGGAGGGCTCAAACACAAGTGCTGCGCCTGAAGGCTACTGTACATAGCGCCGGGCGCGCCGCCCAGGTTAGCCTACATCTCATCTTGGACTACTTGATCATGGCAGGGGGGCATAGACATTAGCGCTGAGGGAAGCGCTGTTGCACCAAATCTACATCCTGGACTGCTTGACTATCGCTCGAGGGGGGGTGAGGGGGGGAGAGGATTGAAGTCTGCGAGGCCAGTCTTGCACCACTGCGCGAAGTGGTTTCAAGGAACATGACCCCATTGAGCATGAAGCAGGACTCGCCAGCTAAGAAAGCGAGACCGGCATCAGCTCTAGCAAAGAAGGCAAGACCAGTGCCAGCGCTTGGCACCTCATCGAAAGCAAAAGCAGCGCCAGCGCCGAAAGCACCGGCCACAGCACCGCCGCCCCGCAGGGAAGAGGCGGCAGTAACAGAAGCCGACAAGTCAATAGCGACAGAGGGAGCGACAGCAGAGGAGCCTTAAAGGCAAGTGCGGACAACGCTGGGCCTGCTGTGCCGAAAACGCCTCCGAAAGCAGCTCCAACGCCGCGTTTATAGCGTGACAGTAAAAGGAGGAAGCTGCAAAGGAGGAAGCCTGGCAGGGTGTGGAGGAAGCGACGGCCAAGGCCAATCGGGAGGCTGCTGGCTCTGCGGGCAGCCCTCCGCTAAGCAACATCTGCGCCGCGGCCGTCGCAGCGACTGCCAACCGTTTAGGCGCACTTGCAAAGGCGAGAGGCGCAGAAGCAGTGGCCAAAGGCGCGGCAGCAACAGCAGCAGCACCGGCCAAAGCCGCACTCGCAACGGTGAAGGCCGCGGTAACGGCCACAGGCGCAGCAGCAGCGCAACAGCAGCCACAACAGGCAGCGAAGGCGAAAGCCACAGCCACAGCAGCGTCGCCGGTTGCAAGAGTAACAGCAGCGCTGGTTGCGGGAGCAAAAGCAGCGCACCAGCAGGCAGCCAGGGCCAAAGCTGCAGCCACAACAGCAACATCAGCACCGGCTGCGGGCGGCACAGCAGCGCAACAGCAGCCGCAACAGGAAGCAACGGCGAAAGCCGCAGCTGCAACAGCAGCGCCGGCGGTTACGGGCGCCACCGCCGCCAGCTAGCGCAAAAGCTCCCATCCCCGCGGCGGGAGGCAGCAAAGCCGGAGGAGGCAAAGGAGGAAGCTCTCAAGGAGGGCACGATGTTGGAAGCAAGGCTCCGGCCCCCACATGGCGGATGCCGATTCAGAACCATTTCGTGGAGCGCGCGTTCCGGAGCGTGCAACTGCAGCGCGGTCAGCAAGAGCATTGGCTGTGGAACACGCAAGCGCTCTGGCTGCGGCAAATGCAACAACAGCAGCAGGCGCAGCAGCGAATGGCAGAGCAGCAGCAGCGAATGGCAGAGCAACAGGCGGCCCTGCAAGTGCAGATGAATGAGCAACAGAAAGCTAAGCAGCAAGTGCAGAAAGAGTCGGAAAAGAGAGAAGAGCGCGTTGCTAGCAAGACCAGGTTGCTGCAGAACCTTGACAGCTGGGTAAAGGCGACTGGCTGCCTGAGCAAGGCAAGTTGGAGAAGGCCGAGCAAGGCCAAGAGGAAGGCAAAGAAGAAGAAGAAGAAGAAGAAGAAGAAGAAGCGCTAGTGCTGGGAAAGGTTGTCTTGGTACTCGTCACAAATTCCCAAGGCAGTAGCTCACACGTTCTCGTATGGATGCGTGTATGTGTGTGTGTGTGCGTGTGCTGCCTCTGTGTTGGACTCCTGTTGTTCTTTATCTTGTGCTTTAACTTCCGGGATGTTTCTCAATTTGGTTTGTATCTCATGGTGTTTTTGTATGCCTTTAACAAAACATATGGTTGCAGTCTTTGCCTAGGTTTAACATTTGCATCCTTCGTCGGAATAGATCCATAACTGCGAGGTTCACTCTTCGGGCCCCATTAAAAAAACCCCGATTTGCACGCTCAGGGGTAAGAAGCCCAAAACCGACGAAGCCAAAACGGCGGGGAACATGGAAGCCCTCGCCACAACTAATAAGCCAGCCTGGCGAGAAACCTTTCATTTTGAGTGCGTCAGAAATTCACCCGACCCAGGACACCAGCAGTTCACTCAGGACACACTATTTTCCAAGAGTCATGAACTCTGGCTCTGGTTGCTTCCTGTTGCACTCACGTCACGGCTCACGGGCCGAAACGCGTCTTGAGGCACCAACTTCCAGGCACGCCTTGGCACCGGCATCGTTGATGAGATAAGCCGTCGTCTCCTTGGCTCCATTACATTTCATGGACCCCGCTAAAAAATGGAAACCCGGACTTGCCCTAAAAGTTCGAAAGCCCAAGCAGTTGGCTCACTAAGAGGAGGCCTCAAGCACAGGAACTTGGGAAGTGATACGTGTTTGACACATGACTGTTGATCACAACTCGTGCTTCCCAGCACAGGCAGGGAATCAAGGACGCAAGTAAAGGTGCTGCGTGTTTCCTTGTCTACAAGGGAGTGGTGTCTGCAAATACGTTGCGTGCAGCACACACTTTTGACTACAAAGCCCCTTTCACGGACTCCTTCCCAGATCTTTCGCGAGCCCAGGACACGAACCTCTGGCTTAGTGTCCCCCAGAAATGAGATATTACGCAGGCCGCAAGATTGGTCCCGCCCGGCCTGGTACCTGCCACTGAGACTGTAAGCTGAAACAGCTTGTAAGTATGGACGTGCGTGCATCCGTGCGTGCGTGTGGCTGGGGTGGGCGTGGGTGTTTGGGTGTTTGTGTGTTTGTGTGTTTGCGTGTTTGTGTGTTTGTGCGTTTGTACGTTTGTGTGTTTGTGTGTTTGGCGTTTGGGTGTTTATGCGTTTGCACGTTTGCGCATTTCTGTGTTTGAACGTTTGTGCGTTTATTCGTTTGCGCGTAGGGTGTTGGAGCGTTTGTGCGATTGTGTGTTTGCGCGTTTGTGCTTTGTGTGTTTGTGCGTTTGCTCGGTTGTGTGTTTGTGCGTTTGGGCGCTTGATCTTGCGCGCTTGTGCGTTTGCGAGTTTGCACGTTTGTGCCTTTTGTGTGTTTGTGCGCTTGCGCGTTTGCGAGTTTGCACGTTTGTGCCTTTTGTGTGTTTGTGCGCTTGCGCGTTTGTGCAATTGTGCGTTTGTGTATTTGTGCGTTTGTTTGCCTGTTTGTGTTTTTGTGCGCGTGTTTGTTTGTCTGTGTGCGTTTGTGTGTGTGTGTGCGCGTCCGTTAGTGTAGGCGTCGGTGTCGGTATGGGCGCTTGTGTTTGTGTTTGCGCTTGTGCTTGTTTTTATGTTTCTGTGCGTTTGTGTTTGCTTGTGTGTGTGCGTGTGCGTGTGCGTGTGCGTGTGCGTGTGCGTGTGCGTGTGCGTGTGCGTGTGCGTGTGCGTGTGCGTGTGCGTGTGCGTGTGCGTGTGCGTGTGCGTGTGCGTGTGCGTGTGCGTGTGCGTGTGCGTGTGCGTGTGCGTGTGCGTGTGCGTGTGCGTGTGCGTGTGTGTGTGTGTGTGTGTGTGTGTGTGTGTGTGTGTGTGTGTGTGTGTGTGTGTGTGTGTGTGTGTGTGTGTGTGTGTGTGTGTGTGTGTGTGTGTGTGTGTGTGTGTGTGTGTGTGTGTGTGTGTGTGTGTGTGTGTGTGTGTGTGTGTGTGTGTGTGTGTGTGTGTGTGTGTGTGTGTGTGTGTGTGTGTGTGTGTGTGTGTGTGTGTGTGTGTGTGTGTGTGTGTGTGTGTGTGTGTGTGTGTGTGTGTGTGTGTGTGTGTGTGTGTGTGTGTGTGTGTGTGTGTGTGTGTGTGTGTGTGTGTGTGTGTGTGTGTGTGTGTGTGTGTGTGTGTGTGTGTGTGTGTGTGTGTGTGTGTGTGTGTGTGTGTGTGTGTGTGTGTGTGTGTGTGTGTGTGTGTGTGTGTGTGTGTGTGTGTGTGTGTGTGTGTGTGTGTGTGTGTGTGTGTGTGTTGTGTGTGTGAGTGTGTGTGTGTGTGTGTGTGTGTGTGTGTGTGTGTGTGTGTGTGTGTGTGTGTGTGTGTGTGTGTGTGTGTGTGTGTGTGTGTGTGTGTGTGTGTGTGTGTGTGTGTCTGTGTGCGTGTGTGTGTGTGTGTCTGTGAGTGTGTGTGTGTGTGTCCGTGCGTGTAAGAGCCCCAGGTGTGCTTGCGTGCATGCGTGTGGGTGTGTGTGTGTGTGTGCGTGTGGCGTCTGAAGCACGAACAAGCTCCAAGGAAGATGTCCACTTGACCCTGCAAACATGAGCCGGCCGAGCGTCTCTGAATCCTTTGTAGAGCCTCCGGGCTCCCTTTCCAACCTCGTACAGGTGCTGCCTTGTGGAGCGAAGACTAACAAAGGGCAGATGGCCCCGTTGCTGCAGGATATCTACACTTAGCCCCTACGAGCAAAGCCATCTTGGACCCCTTTCAAGGTAGACCAAGACCAAGACAAAGCACTTGTGGGCGCCCTTCTTTGCCGGAAGCAACTGCATTTCCTTCCCGGCTTGTGGCGTATTGCCCTAGATGGCTTCCTTGCTGGCGGGGTTTGATCATGCCCTCGCCTTAAAGTGTTTCCAGGTCAAAAAGCCCCAGCCTGCGCAACAAGTCCTGGCCCCCGAGGTAGACGATTTCCCAGTCCTGGGCAACATGACAACTGAGCCTAGAAAATTGGGGGATGTCTCCTTGGTGCCAAAACGCCCCTAAACAAGCAAAAGAGGCACCCGCACAAAACTACATCTTTGTTTGGGGGTCACTGGTAATGCCCAACACGTTACCTATCCAGTCAGCAGGTTCAAGCACTGCGCTCGCCCCACGGTCCTGAATGCTGTTTCGAACGCGGTAAACGATGTGACTGTGTGGTACACTGACGCAGGTCCGCAAAGCGACGGTGTCGCTAAGGTGCAGAACAAATCCAGGCATGATGTTTTGCCTGGGAAATCCTCACAATCAAGTGTCCCCAGTCAGACCTCCACATGTCCAATCAAGAGTGCTGTCTCTCTCGGGAAAGAATTCTGCGAATGGCAGCAAAGTGCATACCTGTGTGCCAAGTGCGTGAAAAGTGCAACAAGGATGGCAAGACCACGTTGGAGTTCCCAAGTGTTGTGCAGTTGTGTCAGACCATGCTTGGGACTTCCAATTCACGTTGTCCCTGAGACACGTCGGGTCGGTTTGAGGAAGAGCTGCCCCTTCATCTGCAGCAAGCATTCGTTCCACCTGAGTTACAACGCCGTCCTGTGGCACATGTGACAACCTCTCCAGGAGCAGTTCCTCCGAGAAGTCCGGACAGAATTGGCAGTCGTCCTGGAAGAAGCCGCGCAGGAGTGATCGGAAAGACAGGAGGTTTGCATGATCAAAAATGTGGAAAAGGCATTGCACCATTCTGGCCAACATGTAAGAACAAATATCTACAACAGTGCTACATGTCGTACATGGCAAAAATACCCTCAGGATGGTGAGATCTCAAAATGGACCCTCACTTGCCCTCCCCTCCTCCGCCCATGGCCCAGCAATTCAACCAGCGCTCTTGTCTACCATTCATACAAGCACCGCCATCTCTAGAGACCAACCCATCTGCTGGACCAGTATGCCATGCTCCTAGCCTCCACTGCGTGTCGCACTCCTGCCTCAATGACCAGGAATGGTGCTCGTGGGTCCACACCGTCTGGCGATGAGCAAAACTTCTAAGTAACCGGAACTGTTGCAAATAAAGCTCGTTGCGCTGTGCATGGCGGGGGGCAACCCTGATGTCATGCTTCAGCTTTGAAGGGGGCGTCCACACTCACACCTCTGCAAGCCACGGTGATTTTCTTGCAGCAAGGGCCAGGTTTTGCATCCAACGTGTTGTTTGGGCATCCAGGATGACCACCATGCCTGTGACAAGTGCCAAAGCAAAGTAGTTGCATCACAAGCGTAATCTTATTGACCGCAGCATGTTTACTTGCCCTAGGTGCGAAGACAAGTTGATGTTGGCTCTCCGGGCTGCAGCCCCGCGTCAATTTGTGGCAATTCAAAAGAGCAAGAGCGTAACAACGACTCTCTCCAGCGAGACCGACTGCAACCAGCAGCGGCACATCTTTTCACCACATGTCCTCTGATGGGAGGGGTCGTGTGGCTGACCGACTGATTTGTATCACAGTCTCACGACACCAATGACACAAGGAAGGTGCACCTAAGGAATGCGAATGAAGGATTGCAAGTCCAAAAGAGCTGCGGAGTGAAGCATCGAAGGGAATGGGCGTTCCCGCCCCAACCCCTTTCGATGCGAAACAAACGATGGGAGGTGACGTCTAGGGACACGCAAGGAGATGGAAAGGAATTGAAGAGAAATGACAGGCACAGAAGGAAAATGCAGGGACGTGCAGGGAAACAAAAGACTGAAGGAAAATGAAAGACAATGATGGACCACATGGAGGAAAACGAAGTGACACGCAGCGAGAAATCCAAGGAAAACAGGCGAGAAATGAAGGCCAGGTTTCCTCCGCGCCGCGCCTGCCACTGAACGAAGGATTTGCAGATTTGTTTGGACGATGTTTGGGAACTTTTGAACCTTTCTTGACCATCTCCCCGCAACTCTAGAAACGAGCATCCCCAGCATTGCAAATGATGTGTCGAGCACGTCAGGTTGTGGCCGCCAATCTTTGCCACGATACATGTTGCAGTCTGGTAAATGCTGAAGGCCATGCCGTTGAGGAGGAAAGGCTGGCCATGGGACGGTGAGTGGGCCATCTGTCCCTGTGCGACCCGCGATCTGCCCTGGCGCAGGCTGCCAGCATCTCGAGCAGTCTTGTCAATCGTGTTGGGTTGCTTGTGTGTCAGTTGGCGTTGCGCGGGAAGTTGTGTGAACCAGGCCTGTGTGAGATCTATCGCGCTCGCTGTGGCGCCGCGCGAGCGTGTCTTGACCTGGCCGAACCCTCTGCAGGAATCGCGCGTGTTGGTTCGCTCTCGCTGTGGCTCTGCGCGAGTTTCCTGACTTTGGCTGCTCGTGAAAGAGCCTTTGGACGGTGTCTCGTGGTTTGTGCCTGCTTTTGCAAGTGCGCGGTCGCGGCGCCGATTCCCCCCTGGAAGTGTGGCATGAAAACTGCGCCCGCGCAGCGACCTCTGTTGTGCCTCCCTGTGCGACTTTTCTTGCGTTGTCTGCTCGCAAAAAGGTGCTTGCAAGTTGTCTCGCGCTTTGCGCGGCTTCTTTCGCAAGCGCGCAACTCCAGCTGCAAATGCGCAAATTTAAATACACAAGTGGCACGCGAAGCACATTCCCGTAGCGCAAACATTCACGCAGCTCAGGATTGAATCTCGTCACGATTGAGAACAAAAGTACTAGACGAGATTAGTTTAGGTCAGCCAAGACAGAAAGAAAGATAAACAGATCGCCCTTTAAGCTCACAGCATCCACACAGCCATGAACATGTATATCTTGAAATTTTTCTAGCAAGCAGAAAGTCACGCGCCGAAGTTTTGACAAGGCTTCCTGGTCATGCGGCACGCAGCCATTGTCGTGGCTTGACCTGTGTGTGCGCAAGGCAAGCACGTACGTTTTGGCCCGAGCGAAGAGTTTCGTCTTACAGTCAGAGGGCGTGTGTGGCGCCGGCTTTTTTTGTGACGCGTCGCGTCGGTATGTCGTGTCACGCTAATCGACGGCGAGCGCTGGGCGTATGTGGGCATGGGGGCACTCTGCGCCAGCGTTTGGGCTTTTGGGGCCTTTGCCTTAGAACGCGCAGGCGAGGCGAGCTGGGGGGGTCGGCTTGGGCGTTTGGCAGAGGGGCCCCGCATCTGACTGCAGCGCGCCAAGGGCCAGCTGCTTGATGCCTTGGTCAAACCTTCCTCTCAGAGCAAAGGCATGGATTTAATGCACTGAACAGAGGAGGGGTTGCTCGTAAGATGTTTTGTCAATAGTGTTTCCAAGAACCACGTGGGAAGAGCAAAGGCAACTTCGTCTTCTGCAGCAGCTGCTGCGAAACCTGGAGACGGCCTTCCCGACGCAGAGCACGGCAGAGGGGGCCGGTAGCAGGCTATTTGAGCGGGGTGGCAGACGAGTCAAGCCAGCCGACCCAGCAGGTCGGCATGCAGGGTTGGGCCACCATGAATATGGAAGCAACCGCCCGCCTCGGCGAACTTGTTGTGGAATAGCAGATGTTTTCTTGGGAAGCGACAAAATGTGGGTGATGGTACCCGAAGGAAGCTGGAGGTGGGTTTGTGGCCACAGCAGCACCAAACGTGGGCAAACCACGGTAGGTAAGGTCTGGCCCGCGCTGGCGGCGGTGGGAAAGTTTGCCAGGTGGCCCTGCATGGCCAACGAGGGTGAGCAAGGCGAACGCCGGTAAAAGAAAAAACTGTTCGCCAAAATTGCACGGGGCGTGTGACACTGCAAAAGTGTCATGACTTGTGCTCAATGCTGCTACGTGTAAACACGAGTGTTAACCGCATCAGAATCAGCTGGAAGAACCAGAAACCTTTTAGTAGTCTCGCAGCGTGCCCCAAACAGAACAAGAGGGCACAGCAGGTGCCTTCATGAAATCTGACTTTGGCTCACTCTTCGCTCGCTCTTTGCTGGTCTACGAGTGAAGTTTGCATGGCGGGCTGCCGAGCATTTTGGAAGGCATGTCACGCCCCAACCTCGCTCAAATAACATGTTCATGTGCATTTTTTTGGGTCAGCCTTCAGGTTGGCTCAAGGGCGAAGATTCAATCATCACCAGCCATGATAGAGGCCAAGAACCTCCCACACACTTGGTTATACAAAAACTGATGAAGCAAGCAGAGATCTGACATGACTCAGAATCAACACGACCATCCCTCGGATATGGTTTTGAAGTCAAAGACCCTTCTGCGTCACGCAGGGACTGCGACATGGTGGGGTGGTCATCGCAGCGTGGGTCGCTGAAAAAAATAAGGGACCGCCTGAAGGTGTTGCGTGGATCCCTCAACAAGCGCACGCGCCAGCTAGTGCCATTTGGTCAGTCCTAGCGACAAGGCTTTTGCAAACACCCGGCAAAATCACCCAATGCGCGACGGTCCTTCCCTGCCCGAACCTTCCGTGCAGCGGCGGATGATGTCGCGCCAAATGAGCCTGAGCTCTGCGTGGCTTGGATTGCGCGGCTGAGTCAGCACCTGGCATTTGAAGGAAGGCCTACCCGAAACCCAAACGAACCAAGCACCACCTCTTGATGGTTGGAACTGTTTCTTACAAAACTCACATTCTCATCATGAACTGGCCAACGTGTTTCACACATTTGAAATGCCTGTCACCAACAACACACAGAGCCCTCCATGTTCCCAATTGGACACATGCACGCGCCACGCACAAGGCCGTAACAAAATGACATGTTTCTTGCGCTCCAGAAAGGGCGTGGGAAAATTGGGTGGGCCCACGCCCTCTTGACACCAACGACGAACTACCAGAAACTTGGTCAGCCAAGCGGGCTCGTGAGCCTAGCCTTCGAGTGTGGCTTCCCACCTCGACAACAGCTGAGGAGCGACGTTCTTTCTCGCCAAATTGAAAGGAAACATGGGGGGGGCCGCGCCTTTTTCAAAAATCTGTATTGCAGCGCCATCAGCGACTTGCAACACCAAAGGGGCATGTGAGATAGCGCGCAGCCGATGGCTCCATCAGTGAGGTCAGTCCCAAACAGCTTCCTCAGGGCACACCAAGACCGCTAGGCAAAGCTACGCGCCTGATTAAAAGACTAAAAGGAAGCTGGGGCTGTCAATCTGCCTACCCTGAAAGACGGAAGACATTGTGACGATTCCCATGCCAACCTGCGTGCTCGAAATCCTCAACACCCCCTAGTGAGTGTCGTTGTCTGCTGCAGAAGATGTGCTTCGGATACCTTGCTTCAGAAACCAAGAAATTGAGGCTTTGTCCGGAGATTTGGCTTGCTTGGGAAACTATGCTTCAAAAACCAAGAATGCGGAAACCAACATCGCAAACTATGGTTCGAAAAACTATCCCTGGCCTGTCACTAACAAGCATTGGCAGGACGCTTGCACCAACCTTCCAAAAAGTGAAAATCCAGCATCAAAGCATCCAGATGGCCAGGCAGCTCCAACCCTTCCTGCCATCGAGTGGAATTGAGATCAATCTGCCACGGCTGCACAAAAAAAAAGGCTGCCGACAGGCGGCTGCTCGTCTGGAAGATAATATCTAGGCAAGGCTTCCATTGAAATGATGCCGTTCCTCAGACTAGAGCAGCGAGCGCAGCTTCAGTTAAAATCCCTTGCGCCGCACGCGGAGTGCGCTTGCCAGTGAAGTAGGCAAAGCCAACCTGAACTGTTCTTGGGATCATGGCCTCGACATCAATGTGCTTCAATGGTTGCTACCTGTGACTAACGTTCCACGTCAAACAACTAATTCACCATGCTACGTTTTAGATCTTGCACATGCTGAGCATATCGCCATCACAGGCAAAGCCACACCTAGAAGATAGTGAGCGCAAAGCGGCAGCAAACAAGCAAACAAAAAACCGAACAAACAAACAAACAAACAAACAAACAAACAAACAAACAAACAAACAAACAAACAAACAACAAAAAACAAAAAAAACGGACAAACAAGGACCTCTAAGGCTGGTGGACTGTCCTGGTGATGACTACATGCAACAATTGCAGGGAACCTGCTCAATCACGAATGACACTAAAAAACACCGACTCTCTCTCAAACAAATGGTTGTAGAATGAAGCCCTGTGGTTCACTTGCGGGCCCTGCAAGGGAAATGGCCATCCCAAAACATTGCCTAACCGCACCACACCAAACTAAACTAAGAAGCTGGGTGGGGCCCTCCAGGGTTTTCACAAGGCATTTCGCCGGCCACACATGTCATCTCTTTCAAGAAACGATCTGGCCTTTGCCAGTGGCTGCCTTTGTTTGATTTGAAAGGGCAAAGTGGAACTCTTCTATACCAATCATGCGGATAGCCTCTTCTACTTGAGCCCCAAAAAGCATGGCATCACATGTCAACTGCGTGTCTGAAAAAATCCGCCGACCCCACGCCTGGTCCAGAATGGACCATGCTTTTGGCGCGGGGGCGGTGGGTTCTGTGTTGCTTTTTTTGATATGTTTTCAATAGGTTTAATGTGAATATACTTATGTGTATATGTCCCTTGGGGCGGGAAAATCCGTCGGCTGGATTTCTGGATCTCTGCGTCTCTGGGTCTCTTCCCCCCCTCCCCCCCCCCCTCCCACCTCTCTCCCCCGCCTGCCCCCCACGCCCTACCCCGCCCGTCTTTGTGTCTGTCTGTGTCGTGTCTTGCTGCGTCTGTCTACGTATCTGCGTTTGTCTTCGTGTCCGCGAAGACCCTCCCACAACCCGCCCTGTGTCGGTCTGTGTGTTTGTCTGTGTCTGTCTACATGTCTGCGTGTGTCTGTCTGTGTCTCCTTGTGTCTGTCTGGGTCTGTCTACGTATCCTGTGTCTGTCTACGTATCTGCGTCTGTCTTCGTGCCCGCGAACGGGTCTGTGCACGCGGGCTTTCTCTCGCGCCGGGCCGAAATTCCAAGGTGTATGGGGGCGGCGGAACCAGGCTGCAGGCCGTTAAATAAAAATTCTCTTCATAAATCAACCCCCCTTGTCAAACGAAACAAGACCCGTCTATATGCAATTTTGGCCATCATCGCACTGTCCAGCTAACATCTTGAATAGACATATTCAGAGATTGAGCGGCTCAGGATGCATTTGTGGAATGACATGGAATCAGCCAGCAATATATATATATATATACACCTGGTACCAAAATACACTCCTTTTGAGACCTACTTCTAGCATCAGCACTTCGCGCACTCCCGTGCTAGCACTTCCTGGGTTGAAGATTGAACATCGAAGATTCTCTTACAACTCTTTTTGGGATGCTGCAAGCCTGTAACTTGGGGCAATCCAGGATGTGGAACACGCTTGCACGTGCTAGCCCATGTTAGTTTTTCCTTACTATGGGCTTGTAGCTTTCCAGGGAAGAGTGGCCTGAGAATCTTACATCTTACACCTTCAACCCAGGATGCGCTAGCAAGCGGTAGCATTTTGCCAGACCTTAAGTGCACTTCGCACATGCCAATGACTGTCCGCCTGTTTAACTAGGGGCCCCCTTTTGAAGGTTGAGCTTACCGTCTAGTTGGGCTTTGCGTGGAGTTGCGCGTCCTGTCAATTCCAGTTGCGAGCCCCGCGGACCTAGGGTGGTTATATCGTTTCACTAAAGGGCTCAAGTGTCAAGAAGAACTTCTGTATAACCAAGCTGACACAGGTCTGACAAAATTAAGGACGCTTTTCAGCTCTTTGAAGAACCACTGCCCGGACCCTCCAGACCGGTTCCCTCTTACTGGACAGTAGGTTGCACGTTCGGGCTGTATAAGGACTTCTTCTCTTTCCGCGGCGCATGGCCAGGTCTGGCACATCCAGCTGTCGGCCGTCCACCGCCGCAAAGCGCTGCGCCGGCAAACGCAGGCGCTGGAACTGGCGCTGCATGAAGTCCCAACGCTCAGGGCGGTGGTCTAAGTTCCTCGAGAGAATCACGAGCCGTCAAGGCGTGTGGAGGACAACAGCTTTCCGACGATCTGGGGGACAACAGCTTTCCGACGATTAGGGTCCAACATGAACCAGCTATTTGGTAATGGGATTTCTGCGGGTTCAGAACTCAGCGTTTTGCGAAGAGTTATTTTTGGTGTTGAACGCCAGCCAGCACAAACGAAGGCAACCAGTAAAGGGGCGCACCTTCAAAGCTGAAACTTGCTTTTGGCACGCCAGTTTGGACTGGAAAGGCATATGGTTTTGACAAATACCAACAGGGCCTGGGCGTAGACAAGAAGTAGCCTGGACAACTTGGGTCCGCAACGTGCCGCTACCGTGGCAACATGATCTAGAGGTTGTTTTGGCCAATGAATTGGTGGATCCGCTCCGAAGAAATCTGAATTACTAGGTAGTACCAAAAAAACATGCAACTTGTGTAAGCCACACTGAAGTCACAAACAAACCTGGAATGAAGGGAGTAACCATGTGAAGAGTCCAGAGGGGCGCTGTGCCTGATGATGGTGCAGACTGTCACTCACTGAACTTTGTTGAGCCAGGTGTTTGTTGTGGCTCAAGTTGGGTGTCCAAGCTTGTGATAGGCGCCTACTGTTGTGTTCGTCATGCAGTTTACTTGTGACTACGCGTCGTCGTCCCAAATGTTCAGCCACTGCGTGGCTGACAGGTCATGCCTGTGCTGCTCCGCAGCCTCTGTTACTCGCCCGCCCGTTCAGCTGCAAAAGTTGCTCGCGGTGTGCGAAAGCGTGCGTGTTCCAACTGATCACATTCCACGTCGCCTGCCACCGAAAGATGCTGTTTAATCGCGCCCCTGCTTGAACATGAATGCGCGCAAACATGCAACATGAACCTTCGTCAAATTCGATCCAGGCATGGTTCCTTAAGATAGTGCTCCTAAAGCAGGCTCAATTGCCAAACTCTGTGAACATGGAGGGGCTCCCCAGAACAGGCATCACCGTGGTTGGAGGTGACTTTGAATCTTGACTTGGGCAGTATTTCGTGGACAGCATTCGCATGGTCGGCACCCTTGTAAGTTATCTGTAAAAAGAGACCTATCTACAAACATGTCTACACCTGTTCGTTCGTCTGTAACCAGACTGCATCCATATACACTTAAACAAAAAGCATATATGTAAGGAATATTTTTCCAAGGTATAAATCCCTCCGCAACACTACACCGTTTGATACACGTGTAAGTAACTATAGAGATATATGTCACAAAATGGTTCGCTTTCGTCAAAGTTCACACAATAGATGTGGGCCAAGCTCTTCCAGGCGATAGCGTCGGAAGCGGCGCTCCTGGAGGGAGAACATGGGGTTCCATTCGTGAAAAACCATCATTCTTACACGGTTTAAAACTTTAAAGCTGTTCACACTGAAACCGATTAGCTAGTTATACTTGAGTTATCCCCTTGTGAAGTTCTATCCCTGCAACGGATGCTTTGCTTGAAGCCTACATGAAGATAGAAGTCTAATGGAACTCGCCCCTTTAAACTCCACGAACAGCCTACTTCTAAATGTTATGTTCATCCAACATGGAAATCCTGTTTAAACTCTCATATTGTCATTCTTTGTCTAAATTCTGCTGAAACTTGTGTTAGAATGCAACTTGGGATAAGAGGCCTTATAAGGAGCCTGGAAAGGACCAGTTCTTAAAACGATCAAGGAGCCTTATAAGGAGTTGCGTAATCAGCCGTTAAAAGATGTTTACAAGCGTTTTTGTAAGGAGCTGCGCAAGCAGCCTTTTCGGGAAGAAGTTGTTGAAGAGCTTATTTTTGAGCCGTACAAGGAGCTATTCAAAAGGCATTATGAGGAGCTTTGTCCGAAGTCTTACAAGCATGTGGGCTTCACAAGAAGCATTTCAAGCAGCGTTGTAAGGAACTGCGCCAGGAGACTGATATGGAGCCTTGTCAATACGTAGCGCTTTCGTTCAGGAGCCTTCAATCGACCTGCGTAAGAGCTCCACGTGGAAGCTTACAAGCAGCTTCACATGTTTCATCGCATGGAACGCAGCCTGCTTTGTCTTCGGTCTCCCCAACTTTGATCAGGCTCAGAATCTGATCAAGCTGAGCGTGTAGAACATGATAAGAAAACACTGTAATTTACGTTGTTTTCTTGCGTACCACACTCTACATGTGGCTCATGCGAGGGCCACGTGTTGGCCAGGCCCGTATTTCTTTGTGATTTTGTGGCACCAAGTGCATTGCACTAGGTGGTTCCTGAATATCAGCAATGTCCCCTCAAAACGTTACAACCAACAGGAGAGGGGCCTTGTTCCAGTTTGGCCACTGATGCGACAGAGTTGGGTCTTCAAACTCACACACCCGTATGAGAATGAGATTCCAAGCATGTTGCGACCTGCACGTCAACCGTCAAGATACTCAAGAACCTTTTGATCCACCTCGTGTCTCCATCCATGGTTGTGGAAACCTGAAGAAGGGGTCCTTTCCCCTTTGCGGCTAAGGGCCCCCCCGCGCAACCACGTGGCACATCCAGCTGGGAAACATTTTCTTTGAGCGGCCCTCTTGACCATCGGACGGTCAGGTTCTGCGTTCACATCTTGTGGATGCGTATTGCATTTTCGGCGAACAACTTGTGACTTTTAGACTTTAGACTTACAGTCAATCGCGGGACCGCTCTACCCAACCTCTGAGAACTAACAAACACCCTCAAGTCGGCCAGGTAGGTCCGGAGAATGAAGCACAGAAGAGAGCACGTGCGTGTGTATACATATACATGTGGTCACCGTGCCCGGGCTCAGCTGGAATTTGGTTCAAGCGCTGGGAAGAGGCTGGGCCAAGACTGATTGGATCAAGCCTAGGGAATGAAAAGTCCAAAATTGGGGTCTGGTGTTGGGTTCTGCAGAATGAAAAAATCCAACCCCAGCTTTCATTAGAACACGGCGGGCCGACCCCATCTTCATAAAACATGCTCAATTTAGAAAAAGGGGGGGCCAACCTCGGTCCGACGTGGCACAAATGGGGGGCTCCAACCCCACCATGAAAAAACGAAAGCGGCAACGTCGTGAAAACATGGGGAGGTCAACCTCCATTACTGTCAGCATCATTTCTGTTGTAGTGTGTGGCTCCGTTACAAGGTAAACTTTCAGTGAGATACGACATAAAACCCTTTAAACTCAAAAGAGTTGAACATTTGGGTATGGCCAAGAACGGCTAAAATGAGACATGTGAACAGGTTGATTCGTTGGACTGAAGCGAGTCACAACTTTTTAGGCGGTTACTTACAGAGTTCCCAAGATTTTGTCAGGCAAATTGCATGATAAATTAAATAAACAAAAACAGGGTCATATCGGGAACCCTGACTTATGATACAGGAAACGTGTCTGCCGTTGCGCCTTTGACAGCAACTTCTTGCTGCGCAGGCACCGCGGCTTGCAACCAGGGTTGCTCGTGTACCCGAGAATCCGAGCATGGGAAACCAAAGAAAACCAGACGAAATCTCCACCCTGGTGGGTTTGATCATTTTTTACGGAGTCCCTAAGAAGGGGGGGTTGTCCAGGAGGTTTTTCTAAGGCTTAATTAAGGTTCCCTAAGGAACAACCATGTAAAACCTTTAAGGAGCCCCCCCTCGGTCTAATTCAGAAAATTAGGTCAACCAATCCAGACTGAGAAATTTCTAATTTTAAAAAATGGGGGGCCAACCTAGAAGCCTTCCTGACCAGACCCATTTTCTTTTATTCACCATTTAGAAAATGGGGGGCGCCAACCCCACCGTGGGAGGTGACATCCGTAGAGAAAACAAGCCCAAAATGGGCTCAACCCCCCCCCCCCCCCCCATTTTCTAAATTAAGGTCGAACCCGGATGTCCAAACATCAGCGCGCCCTGCATATTTAACGCGGGGCCGACTTACACGCCTGCGTGAGTTGTTGCAGCATGTTTCTCTTCGTGCGCTAGCTTGTTCAAGATTATGAAAGACAAGCCACAGGCACAGTTGCATGGCGCCCTAGCCAGCTATCTTGCGGGCTTGCTGGCTAGGAGGGCTAGTTCGGTAGCCAGCTCAGTTGGCCAAGTAGCTGGCTGGCAAGTTAAATGGTTGGCCAGCAGTTAGGTAGCCAGCGGTTTGACTGGTTTGCGCGCTTGGAAGCTAGCCAGCCGAAAGTTACCCAGCTAGTTGTCAAACTAGATGGCTGGTTCGCTGGCTTTTCCACGACCGTCCCCAGCAGATGCTGCACAACATGCAGCAACGCTGCAACGTGGTCTTGTTAATTGGTATATGGGGGCGTATAGTCAAGGTTAGCAGAACTAGCAATTGTGTATCTAAGATAACTAGAACTAACTGAAATAACTAAAATAAGTAAAACTAGCTAAAGTAGCTGGAAAAACTTTGATGACGATTTGTTTGGCACATGTTTGCAGAAGCGGCAAATGCGGAAATCTCAGCGAATCATCGAGTTTTCGAAAATCGCAGCTAAAATGCGGTCTGTAAAACCCGTACAGCCTTCGGAACACCTGCGTAATTGACGCGGCGAGTTTTTGACAAGCAGGAGTGCATGGCAGCCTGTGCTTCGCAAGCGCGCTTGTTGACTGAGCGTTCGGTCATCCGATTTGTTTTTTTGCATGTGTGTTTGTCCGTTGAGTAGCTGCAGCACGAAGCTTTCACTTGAGCTTTGTGTCTTTGGGCAGCCACGGATTCCTACCTTTGGCCGGGTGGCTGGGCCAGATTTCGCCAGGCAGGATGCTTTTTGGCAGCTGCCTCTGCTGAACCCGACAGCGCGCCAGGTTTCAGTTAGCAGGACTTACCTGCAGCGGGCTGCTGCAGCTAGAAGCTGACTCTGCAGGCCAGGTTTCAGGCTCGTTTGCTGCCGCGGGTTTGCGCGGCAAGCATGTCAGCAGCAGGGATTTTTTTCATAAGAGCCTTTGTTTCACAGCCAAGATTTTAAAATGGAACGCGCGGGTTTCCACGGCGAGCATTTCGGAAGCAGGATGCTTCCGTGGGAGCTTTCGCTTCACATGTGATATCAAACACGCGGGTTTCCGCGGCGAGCGTGTCAGCATCAGGATTTTTCCACGGGAGCCCTCACTTCATGCGCAAACATATTTGTAACATAGAGAGTGAAACACGTGGCTCGCCACGACTGATTCCATGAGCCCAGGCAGCTGCTTCATGTGTTTCTCTGCAGGAAGCTTTGGCGTAATCCGCTTGCTTCTTTCTGCGAAGTAGTTGATTTTGCTTTCCACCTTCCCCCCTTCGAAAGCGACAAGTGTCTTCTGGCCAGGATTCTTGTTTTTGGCTCCGTCCGCAAGTTTCTAGTCTCAGGGTTCTTCTGCGCATGGGCTGATAGCAGAAAAGCCGCGGCGCATCGCGGCACGTCGCGGCACACGCCACGGGGCCCCCCAAAAAAATGCGCCTTTACATATTGTCAAGCAAACACGGCCGCGGCACGCCCAAAAACAATGCTCCGGGCAAACGCCGCGGCACATCGCGGCACATCGAGGCACGTTGCTATTTTCGGCAGGCCTTCTGCAACGAAATCAAAGCCGAAAAAATGCAGGGATCAGATTTCAGGCAAGGACCGCGTGCGGGACTTTGGGGCGAGCCAATTGCAACACAAAATCACCACCGAAGGCATGGGGAGAAAGCGGACGCGAGTCCATGGAGGCCATGCGTCGCGCCTTCAAAAACTGCATTGCAGACAGGGTCGGACAGTTTGCGGGCGGAGGCATTCCCGCGGCGTACCTGCCGCGCTTGCTGCTTTCACACGTGCACGAGCTTGATCAGCGCACTCCAGCTGGGCCTGCGAAAGCCGACGGAGTGCTCAGCCCCTCCGGCAACACTTACCGTGCGGTGATCGCAGCATACCTCTAAAAAGGCACGCTTGCCGCACGTTCCGGTCGCTAGCGGCGCTGTGCTTCACACGCGCGACGAAGCCTGCGTAGCGCGAGCTTGCTGCGACAACGGCAGCCTTCTCTTCACCGTGCAAGAGCTGCAGCTGCGCTTCGACCCACGCATGCAACTGGTGCCTTTTGTTTCGCTTTTCTTTCGCTCGGCTTGCGTTGTCGCAAGTGTCTGTACGCGTGCTGCGTTGCAAGGCACGCGCTTCAGCTGGCACATCGTGGCGGGCACTCAGCGCCAACACGAACACTGTGACGGAGCTGTGCGCCCGGGAAGCTTTGCAGCCGTGCTGGTGGCTGTGGGAGACGGATCAATCTCTGCTGCGCCGGGAGTAAAAGCAAGTCGCAGCGCTTGCGCAGCCGTGCCGCGTAAACAGCGCGGCTTTGTAGTTACACGATTTAGCGTGAGCGCTGTATTTGTGTAACTGATGTGTGTATAAGTATATATGTACTGTTTCTTTTCTATTGCCGAAATGCGCGGCTCAGCCGCGCAGCAACACGAACCAACTACACTCCAACAAAACGCAGAACAATCAAAAAACACGAATATATAAACGTCACCGCGTACGTGTGAAAAAGCATGTTTGCTTCAGAAAATCATGGTTTGAACGGCTTTTCAAGCTAACATGCTTTTGGCAGAAATGTTCATTTTCGGATAACTAAAGTAATTAAGATAACTAAACATGAAATGAAGTAAACTGATAAGTCAAGTTAAATGCTGCTAACTGATGTAGTAGACTATAACTGCATAACTGTTAACGAACCCATGTTGTGGAGAACGAAGTCTTTGGCGAAGCTCTTTCAATTGCTCGCAGTCCCAGAGCACTTTCAAGCATGCCTGATTTGACAAGGGAAAGTCTGCTCAGAATGTCTCTTGCAGTACACCCTGGCTTCCAGCCAAGGCCTTGCCTCTGACGCTTGCTCGTCCAGCTCGGGGGGAATCGCCAGCCATGCTCAGCTCAGCCCTCTGGCAAGCTCATGTTGAAATGGACGCCACCACCAACTTGCCGGAAGAAAGCAAACAACCTGAATTAAGCCATGTGGAATTCAGCTGCAATAAGTCCCTGCTCTTCAACGTGAACGGACGCGCAAGTGTTTCGGTGCTAGATTGTGGCTTTCGTCAACTTCCTTGGAAGGATACCCAAGCAAAGCTGAAGCTGCTCGACACGAGCAAGAAGAGACACAAAAGTACGACGGCCGCTCCTCCTCAGGGCCCGGTGCCACAGGCCATGGCGAGGCCCGTAGCGACCAAGAAGCGCAGCGCCTGGAGAGTTGGTCGACTTCGATCTGCTCGAAGGCTTGGTTTGTGGAGAACCTGCCGCGTAAAGCTATCCGTGGTTTACGAACTAACTAGGGCTACAATGGCGCAACATTGCTCCAGCCTGGTCTGAACAATTCTGGAGGCTTCATAGGACCATCTGCGCAAACCAACAAAACAAAAGCACAACAGAAAGAAGATTCCTGACAATTTGGTCAAGGTTTACAAGCCTGACAGCGCTTGTGAAATCAGACACCCCATCCAGCTTGCCCTCTGCAAGCGAACGGGAACACATCCAGCACTCCTTTGGGTCGGCCTCCTACTTTGTCACGTAACAAACGTACTACAGCCCAAGGCGTCATGTTGGAAGGTGTCCACTGATTTGCATCACGTGGTCTGTGTGTTGCGATGTGTTCTCTGTTGGCAAGCCATGGGTGCAGAGACATGCGAAATAACGATCTCGGTGAAGCTCTGGCAGCAACAGACAGGCCAGACAGGACAGAAGGGACAGACAAACCACAAAGAGACAAACAAACAAACAAACAGACAAACCGCACCACCAAACCAAACCAACAGACAAACAAAACAAGCACCAAAAAACAGACAAACAAAACCAGCGCTTTACATCGGTAGGTGATGCGAGAAGGGGCGTTCCGGAGCTTGGAGCACGTGTCCTTTTCGCATGCGCCCTTTGCGTTCGCCAAATGAGCGGCGTTCAAAACGTCCTTTTACAGTGCAATATCTAGGTCCTTGGTCGTAAGGAACGCGAGCTTGTGCGAGGAAAGGAATAGCTTACGCGGTCACCCGCGCCACCAAACTTGCGCAACGCAGTTACGTTGCCCCCGCATGTCCATACTGTACATCTATTGCGACCGCCAGGGGTATTCAGGCAAGACTGTGGTCCTCCAAGCGCGTGGAAAAGTAACAGTGCAGAAATCTTGCCAAGACCAAACCGCAGTGCGGGCGGATCCCTGCTGAGCCAAAACACAATTCCTGCGCACGAACCCAAGCCTTTAAGTTAAAGTCTTTAAGCAGGCGAACATGTCACAAGCGCGAGACTTGACATCAAGCAAGCCCCAAAATGGAAAAATGCAAAAGCAACAGCAAGCCCGAGTGAGGCGACCGCACTACAAACATTGCGCCATGATGGAGCAAGGTAAACGTTCACGGGCTTGGAACAAGCGAGCTTGCATCCAAAGATCACGCAAGCTGGCAGCCAGGGGGCCAAGGCCCAGTACAGCAGATACCTCCCGACCAAAGCTGCCTGGCACGCAAGAGAACAAAGCGAAAAGCAGGTTTGGGACAAACCGCAAACCCTGTGTTACGCATGCATGCGTGCATGCATGGATGGCTGGATGAAAGGATGGTTGGATGGATGCGTGTTTGCTTGTGCGAATGTAGATATGTGGATATGTATGATGTATATGTAATACAAAATGTGTGCCAGCCAATGCTGTCTTGCATCATTAGATATTTACAGGGTGCTTTGCTACTTAGTCCCAACAAAAATGCATTGTCGGCCCCTGGACAACAACTTGGGAGTTTGCATTATGAATATGGGGGTGCAACTACACATGTTTCTGCCTGCGTGCTAACACAACTAAAGACTAAATATTTCACCAGCCTCGACCCCAAACAGCAAAAAAGCATGACCGGCCTGTATAGCCAAAAAAAGGCTTGTCTCCTTCATGTAAGGTGCGAACTTGTGTAGCTTATGTGAGGAACACATAGTTACAATCAGTCCATGTGTGTCCCTGCAGGAAGTCCCCTTTTTTGGGAAGAGGACACATCAGGTCCATCCATCTCCTTGACGCCGGGTAAAGGCATCGATGTTGTTCATCGACTTCGAGGAGACAATTCCATGTCAATGCCATGTTCGAGAGTGAAGGCCCCGGGGATTCGGGGTGAATCAACCTAACACCTGGCATTAATCAAAGGAAGTTTCGAAGGAACTTTCGTAGTACGGACACTCAATGCACTTTTCCATCACCGCAGCATTTGGTGGCCGTCTCGCTACTTTATTGAAACTTGCGCATCAGTCTCAGCAGCCTGCGGCCGAGACTGGACACATATCACTTCTGGTTGCTATCTTCTTCTCGAGCTCGGCTGAAGGTCTTGCCACAAGCAAAGCAAGAGTTCACTTGCATAAACTTGCGGACTGCGCCTTGTAGCGTTACGGCCGGGACATCCTCGCCTAGCAACGCAGACACACGCCGCGCCAAATTGGCAAACGTCAGCAAAGGTGCCCGTTTGGCGCGCACCTCTGTCACCCGGCGCAGCTCCAGAAAATCCTCAGTGTTTGAGCCGGCAGTAGCTTGGTCATCCAGGGTCTTCATCTCTGTCGTGTCCAGCGCGCCGCATGCTCCCAAGCCAACGCATGGCTTTGCTCCACGCGCCCAACGCCGCTCCATTCCGGAACAAGCTTGGCTTTGAATGTCGGCTCCAGCCCTGCTCCATCGCGGAAACGTGTGAGCACTTTGCCCCAACTTACCAATGCTGGCTGCACAGTGGACACCACCAGCTTGGCCGGGTTCATCTTGGAGTTGGCGCTTATGGTTCGCAGATTGGTGTTCACATGTGTGGTGATCGACCGGCAGCGCACGCCGCTGGCAACAACTTCTGGGCCTTGCGTTCACTCGCCTCCAGCAGCACGGTAATCAACTGGCCGGGTTCATGAACTCTTTCCAAGTTGTCAGGTCAGCGAAGTAGGTTGTCAGAACTCTTACAAGCTAATGGTTTGGTTGGGGGCCCGACTCACCCAGGCTTTGCTTCCAGGACCATTCTTTCTGGAAGCCGGTCAGAAAAAACCTTGAGCTCGGACCCCCCCTTACGATGCAACAAGATGATAAGCACGCCTGCTTGACTGCGTGTTCGCTCGTCCCTCTCTGTGATAGCACCAGATCTCCAAGAGCAAGTAACCAGGACACCACCAAGCCACTCTGCGATTGGCGGCGCGCGCGCACGCACCCACCCACCACACACTCGCACACGCACACGCACGCGCACGCACACGCGCGCTCACGCACCCACACGCGCGCACACACCCACACCCACACCCGCACCCACACCCACACCCACACCCACACCCACACCCACACCCACACCCACACCCACACCCACACCCACACCCACACCCACACCCACACCCACACCCACACCCACACCCACACCCACACCCACACCCACACCCACACCCGCACCCACACCCACACCCACACCCACACCCACACCCACACCCACACCCACACCCACACCCACACCCACACCCACACCCACACCCACACCCACACCCACACCCACACCCACACCCACACCCACACCCACACCCACACCCACACCCACACCACACACCCACACCCACACCCACACCCACACCCACACCCACACCCACACCCACACCCACACCCACACCCACCCACACCCACACCCACACCCACACCCACACCCACACCCACACCCACACCCACACCCACACCCACACCCACACCCACACCCACACCACACCACACACACCCACACACACACACACACACACACACACACACACACACACACACACACACACACACACACACACACACACACACACACACACACACACACACACACACACACACACACACACACACACACACACACACACACACACACACACACACACACACACACACACACACACACACACACACACACACACACACACACACACACACACACACGCACGGCGCGCACGCACGCACGCACGCACGCGCGCGCGCACACGCACGCACGCACGCACCCGTGCGCGCACAAATGCACGCACGCACGCATGCGCACGCGTGCGACGCACGCCTGGTCCAGCTGCCATGCAAAAAGCATCGGGTTTTCTTGGTTTTGTGCAGCAAAAACTCTCATTTTCACATGTTTTTCCAGTGCTTCAAATCTGCGGCGCCCCAAGAGTGCCCCAGCATCACCTGCATCACCAGCATCACCCGCATCACCGGGACAAGCCCGCAGACCCACAAGCCCGAGGCTGCAGACCCGGAACCGGACCCAAAAACAAGCCCGAAAACGCACCCGCCAGAAGCAGATGACCCCCGGCCGCATCCTCGGCACGCACAGGGTCGGCGGCACCATGCGGCAGCCCCATAGAGCTTCGTGGGTGCGTGAGCGTGCGTGGGTGGGTGGGTGGGTGGGTGTGTGTTGTGCGTGAGTCTGGTGTGTATGTGTGTGCCTGTGTGTGGGTGCGTGCGTGGGTGGGTGTGCGTGCGTGAGCGCGCGTGCGTGTCCGCGTGTGTGCTTGTGCGCGCGTGCCTGCGTGCGTGCGGGCGGGCGGGCGGTGAAGGGGACATGGCGAAATGACGGGAAATGGCTAGAAAATAGATGGGAAACGTGGAAGATGGATGGAAAACTGAGGGAAGATGTTTGGAAAATGGATGTGTGCATCCGGCCGGCCAACTGGCCGAACGGCTGTGTCAGATTACAACCTTGGTCCTTTGGAGCAAGGCTCTAGAGCGAAGCTCTATGGGGCTGCTGCACGCCGACCATGCTCCGACCATGCGCATACGTTTTGTGCTGGGCCCAGCCTTTCAAGGGGCGAAGGATTCGCGGATTGGCTTGGGCGATTTCCGAGGATTTTTGTAGCATCTCCCCGCAGCAACCAAAAACGAGTCCAAAAACGAGTGTTTTTAGGGGGCGCCTAATACTGGACTACACCCCCAGCATTGCTAGCATCACCGCGAATGATGCGAATGATGCTATGCATGCTGGCGATGCGAAACAAGGGGCTAAAGAGGAAATGCAAGGAAACAGGATTGACTGGAAGTGAACGAAATGAACGTCAAAGGAATTGCACGAAACTGAGGAGGGCACTGGAGAGAAACCGAGATGCAGGAAAATGCAAGAGCAGAACGTGAAGGGAACCGGACAGCGGGAACGAAAAGGGAAAGGAATGCGAATAAAGGAGTCTTCAAGGACATGAAGGGAGCTGAAACGGCAGTGAAGTGGAAGGAAGTGAAGGGACATGCCAGGAAACTGTCAGGGAAGACATGCAAAGGAAGTGAAGTTCAAATCATCCCGAGAACTAACAGGACTTAGTTAAATAATATTAGGTATTGATTATTCGTGAACATATAGTTTTGTATTTGCTCCTGTTTCTTTGGTTTCTGGTAAATCTATAACAAAGTCAGAAGTGCTTAAACTTTCGCTTAAATTTCTACGTCGTGTATCATTTTTCTATGTCTTGTCATAAAATATTAATAAGTTAGATAAAAATACCATTAAATAATTTAATGAAATATTATTCAAAAGAAGGAAACTAAAATGATACAGTCCACTTCATCGCGGTCATAGTGAGATGTATAGAAGAATAATACAAGAAAAATCATTATTCAATCCTAGATATAAAAACATTTTATCTGACACAGAAGGATTAGACAAAGCACATACAAATGGTAATGGTTATTATTTAGTATTGTTTAGACAATAATAAATTATATGTTGCTGGAACATTTGGCAAGAAAAAATTTTAATCTTCAATTAATGACATTGCTTCTGATATTACAATTCCATTTGGTTTAAATTCATACCGTGAAAGGTGTAGAGATATTAGTTTGATGAAAACCACAGTATATCAGAAATTATTTCACATTCATTGGGTAGTAGCGCGGGTGCTAAATATTTACAGAATAACCCTGATAGAAATATTCGTTTGACAACTTACGGAGCTCCTTTTGTTTCAATGTGAGTAAAAATAATGACACCTACACAAGCCTACGAAATTTTGGAGATATGGTCAGTGTTTTAGATAGAGGCAGTATAACAAAAATAGAGGAGGTTTTAACCCATCAACAAATCATCAACACTCACTATATGCCGACACAGGCAAAGATGTATCAAGAAGTATTGAGCCTGTAAAGGAAATTTTGTAGTCTTATATATAATGCCTAACAATGATATAAAAAGGGTGATAAATCCTCAAAATCAAATCAGTGGTTATGACATTAAAAAGATGACGAGCCAAATAAGGTTGAAAATAAGAAAAAAACAAGTCTAAAAAACTATTAAACAAAAATTCTAAAAATAAGTTATATTTTGTTCACACTTTAAAATAAGTGTATTTAATAATATAATTATATAGTAATTTTCGACTATTAAATAGATAAAGATAGAAGCATTAGGTATTTCAGATCTTCTTGTTGAAAAGAAACTGAGATTTAAATTAAAAGACGGTGGTTCTTATGTCCGTTCAAAAGAAAGCAAAAACTTTTACCCTTCACCGG